TTCTCTATTGCTCCAAAACTCCTCACATGGAAGAGAATGGTAAGCATCATTTCAGTAATGTCTGCTGAGGCTGAGAACCGTGACAGTGCAGGACTGATGCACAGAAGGTCCCAGCTCCCACCATGTCCTGGTCCACGCTATCCTGGACTTCCAACGGGATCAAGTCCACCCTGGGACAGGAGAAGGATGGGTGAAGATAGCCTTCCAGAGGCAGCAGCACAAAGTAAGTGGCTTCTAGGTCTTGGGGCTGGTGTTTTGCCCCCAAAGCATCTATGACTTGAGAAGATTCTAGGACATGAGTTTTTTTGGGCAGTTACTCCTAAAAATTCTGCCCACCATGAGACCCTGGCTGGGGCAGAAGTCCTGGCTCATCCTCCTAATACAGCCTGTTCATGGGGCTGGAGAATGTGGCTTCAAATGAACTAGGCCATATGTTCTTCCCACAGTGAACCTGCCTCCCAGCAAAACTAGTGCTGAGCTGGACCAGGAAGTCACCCTGGTTGTACATACCAGACCCAAGGGGTTGCTAGTCTCTCCTGGGTATCACACACATGGCCTACACTTTAGCCCATGTCTCCCTCCCTGCAATGTTTCCCAAGATCAAAGCTGCCTTACAGCTATGGAAGCACCTTTTTGCCTCCTCTCTCATGATTCATCCTGGGTCCTTTATCGTCGTGGATGCTTCTCAACAAAGCCATCAGAGCCTTCTGCCCTAAGAGGCTCTGAATCCTGCCTTCACAGCCCTGTAAGTCTGATTGTACAGCTAATCAGTATTACTCCCATTGCATAGAAATAATGTCTTACCATAATCACCTGCTTTGAGCTCTGACTTGGCATCAGGGGGGAGGAGGAGGAGAAGAATGAAATAGAGGGTGAGTAGATCTGGAAATAGAACCCGAGAGGATGAGAGAGTCTTGCTTCCTCTCCAGGGGCCTGTTATCAGCCAGCCAGTAGCAGAAGGTCTCCCAAGCTTAGGAGCCATTTCCCTGTCTCCGCTTCACTGGGCTCCTGGTTGCTGCCTCTGCTGCCAGGGCACTATGGGCCATACCTGGTCATGCCAGAGTTAGAAGTCCTGGAGCCAGCATGGAATGGGGCAACATGGAATGACCTGGGAAGTCTGCACTCACGCAGGGGTCATCTGGGGGAGCCTGAGGTTCTTCTGTGACTCTGGCTGACCCCACTGCATGCATGGTCTGTGGCTTTGGGCATCATTCATTGCCCCATCACTGACTGTACATGTGGATGTTTAGATGTGGGTTCAACTGGATCCAAGAGACTGGGACTGTGCTAGGTGCCAGCGGTACAATGGGTAAGACACAGTTCTCGGTCTCAAGGAGGCCCCAGACAAGTGAATAAGTGATTATTACCCCATCTGGGACTGTACATAACTTCTCAGCAACCCCAGGATACATCTCCCTCATAAAGCACAGATTCTGGTCACACAGGCCAAAATCACAGTTTCCCTCTGTGGCTTCTGTATCTCATACCCAAGTGTCACTTTATTGGCAGAAATCTTCCTCAAAACCATCTTGTCTGCTATGTGCCCATGGCTCTTCCTTATGGGTGTCCCCGTCCACTGTACAACATGAGCACTGTACTGTTTTGCTCCTGCTTTCTGAGGGCTCCACTACTGGTAAGTCTTAGGCCTACTCTTCAGGCCACAACTCCACATTCCCCAAGCAACCTCACCTTCTCTAGCGGACATCCTCTGCTCCTTCTGACCACTCTTAGTGTCTTCCATGTAAGACCCACCCAAGGCCCTGGCTCAGGCTGTTCTTCCAGCTGAGTTCCCCACCCTTCCCCATTTCACTGCTGCTTCTTGAATCCCAACGCAGCCAACATGGCTAATGCTTGTCACACCCTCCTCAAGGAACCCTGCGTTGCTGCTATCCATTAATACAAGGGGGATCCAAAAAACCTGGAATTTATTATTTTAAAAATGTGTATTTATTCTCACATGTTTAAACTTCAGTCACCTTCAAAGTACTCTCTATTTGATGCATTTCATCTATTGAGATACTTTGTCCACTGCTCAAATCAGTTTTTGAACTCGTCAATTTTGATGCCTTTTAGTACTTCTGCCATTTTTTGTTTCACCTCTTCCACAAAACTTTCCCTTTGAGGACTTTTTTTCATCTAGGGAAACAAAAAAAAGTTTCTTGGGGCAAGATTGGGTAAATAGGGAGGATGGGGTACGGAGGTCATGCTGGTTTTGGTCAAAAACTGCTGAACTCTCAGCACAGTGTAGCCAGGTACTCTTGTAAATCACCCATTATGAAATGGGAAAATGTGTTGAAAGAATCTCAAAAAATTCACTGAATCTGAATACAGTCTCTCACAACAAAGCTAGCTGGTCCACTGATACTGGTTGGTTCCTAGAGCACTTACCTAGCAGGAGAAGCTGGTACTACAAACCCTCCTGCCAAAAAATCATTCTGGATTTTTTTGGGCCCCCTCATAACAGCATGAATTCACTTCACCCAGCACCCAAGCCAGAGGCCAGGAGTTCATCCTTGATATCATTCATTCTAATTAATAACCAGTTAACGCTGGTTCTGATTCTACCTTCTGGATCTCTAGATAACATTCTTCCTCTTCTCCACCCTCACCCCTCCCCAGGACCATTTCCCTCTGGATTCAGACAGTCCAGTGTTTGTGTTCTGTCTCTGCTACATCCTAGCAGTGAAACTGCAGGAAAATTATCTCCTTAGACCTCACTATAAAACAGATTTATTCTATCTCATAAGATTGACACTGGGATGAAATGACATGATGTATGTAAAATGCTTAGCATAGTACATGGCTCAAAGTAAGTCCTCCTTTGAGAGGCTGAGGTGGCAGAATTGCTTGAACCCAGGAGTTTGAGATCAACCTTGACAACCTAGTAACACTCCATCTCTACAAAAAATACAAAAAGTTTAGCTGGGCATGGTGGTGCATGTCTTTAAGTCTCAGCTACTTAGGAGGCTGAGATGGAAGGATCACTTGAACCCAGGAGGTTGAAGCTACAGTGAGCCATGGTCATGCCATGCACTCCATCCTAGGTGACAGAGTGAGACCCTGTCTCAAAAAAAAAGTAAGTCCTCAACATACTGGCTGCTGTTATTGTTGTTGTTATTATTATTAGTTGAACCTCAGCATCTCCCATCTGAGCTAGTTAAGTTGCCTCCTACATTGTCACTATTGGAGGGTGAATACCAGGGATGAAAAGTAAAAACTCACAGTGGCCACAGCAGTGTGGAATCGTGTGGCCACTGTGAGCACATTTGTCTTTGAAAATAGATGATGGTGGGAGAAGGCTCCAAAGCACATAGCTTCATAACTACAGAGACATTGGCTATGAGGTCACTCCTCTCCCTACAGCAAGAGCCTCCAAGGGGCCCAGACAGAGACATGGTATTCTAGGGATGGAGGGTCCCTTGAAGAACATCTAACTCAATTTCCTGGTTTTAAGATGGCAAAACTGACTTCCTGTGAGGATAAAGGGCTTGCTTATGATCAACTTTATTTAACACGAATTTATCTGGGCTGCTATGTACCCAGTCCTGTGCTGGGTGCTGGACTCACAGGCAGTCAGGTGAAGAGCTTGGATCCAAACCCAGGTTTCCACTAAAGCATACTGACAGACACTAAAAATAACACATATATTTCCATGTGCTACTGAAAGGGAAAGAACCAGAACTCTGTATTACCAATAAATCATCATGAGAAAGTCTTTCAATTAGAAACTGGAATGTGAAACACCAAACTGAACTGTTAGACACAAACAAGAAGACTAGAAAACATGTAGCACAAGTAATAAGAACGCATTCTTTCATGTCAGAATTTGCCTTTTGACCATACATACACAAACTGATCTGTGCACACAGCATCAAAGTGGAAATCTGGAATTCACCCCACAGTCAACACTCACTTTTTTCTTGAATACCTAAACTCTTTCAGTTTCTTGACAGAATTAGAATTTGGGGAGAAATGAACATTGACTCTAAGTTGTCAGTTTATAAACAATGAAACTAAATCTTAGAGAATTAAAGAATTACATCACAACCCATAATGAATATAGTGGCTGGAGAGACTCACCTTCTCTGACAAGGGAGGCAGTTTTTAAAAAAAAGACATTTGCTTAAGTCTTATTTGGGAGGTCTGTCCTTTGTTTTAATTAAAAAAGTCCCCTCAAAATGGTTTTTAAATTTTTTTTTTCAAGAGACAGGGTCTTGCTATGTTGCCCAGGATGGATCCAAACTCTTGGACTCAAGCTATTTGCCACTGCACCCAGCTTTTTTATTAGCCTTTTATGGGTCATGGGTATCATCGAAGAATTGACTGAAGCCTGTGAATTCTTTTCCCAAAAGTGATCCCACAAGGGCACAAACATACTTTTGCATATAATTTTAGGAGCTCATCCATGCAGCCCCTAGGAATTCCTGAGTCACAGCTAAAGAAAACTTGCTTTAAAGTGTTAGCTGTACAGTAATGCAAAATACTTAAAATCAGTTTTATAGGCACAGGCCAAGCCTGCAAACTTTCTACAGGAGGAAACTTCATGTAACAAGCTAAAAATGATTACAATGCTTTTTTTTTTGTATTTGAATCAAAGCATAAAATTATTATTTGTCAGTATGCACATGCAGATTACAATAAAAAGTATCAACTCAATATTGTAGTCAGATAATATCAACATCTAGGGTTCCAAACCATTCTACCAAATAGGTCCTTCTCTAAAAATAACCTAAAGACACATTTGTAAGAATCACCAGCCTCTTCCTACCTTCATCAGAGTCTCTCACACCCTGTACCAATGCCACATTCAGTTAATACAAGTCCTTGCCACAAGAAGGCACAGAAGACATTAACACTGTTTGTTGTATTTTAAACATCTGCAATTGACCATGAACTCGCTTCCCACCTAAAGGAAAGATATTGCATTAACATTACAACATTAAGTTGAGTTTCTAATAATAGAATTTACATCGGAAGAAAATGACTATCGCAAAACTTGCCTGTCAAGGGTCCATAAATGCTTCTTTTAACTTTTAGGACCTGGATTTCTGCTAGAAAATTGAGTCCGTGTTGTGCAGGCTTTCCCTTCTTGTTGACCTCTGCATACCCTACAGGTTACCCCTGCCTGTTTTACACTGGATTTCTGCAAGTAGGGCACTAAGACTGAACAGTAACACGAGCTGGCTTTGGCCACAAATAGCAACAGGAGTGCCATGAGTGCAAGTCCAAATATAGAGCTGCTGCGACTGACTTGCCACTTCTTACTGCTCAAGTGTCACCAGGAAAGGTCACATGCTGTGCTTTGGGTTAGCTTCCTGTACTGTGGGAGTTTGAGACCTGCGGCTCCCCCATGGGACTCAGATGACTGGCCATGGGGAAAAGGCTGGGGGCTGTTATAGCAAGGCCAGGAGGGAGTCTTCTGAGAGCTCTCTCAGGCAGTAGAATGTCCACCTGGGCTTTCCCAGTGTCTTCTTCCAAAGTGTTTTGAACAAGCACAACTATGGAAGTAATGAGATGCAACTTTGTTTTTTGTTTCTCCCATCTTTCCTTTCAAGTATACTCAAGGTATGAATTTGTCCCCTTTCTGCAAATCCAGCAGAACGATGACTTTCTTCTCCCTCTTAGGTGACACAGTCCTAGAGTCATTGAAGTCAGAGTCTCAAATTTAGTAATTGAATGTCCATTTCAATATATTAACCAAAAAGTCAAAACTGGTTTAGTCAGCATCAGAATCTTCTCCCATCCCCAGCTTGGGCCTCTTTAGCAGGAAGCCTTCCCTGGGAAAGGGAGAGTGAAGTTGGTCTCTCCCTTAGCTGCTGGTTTGGATGCCAGGGCAGAAGGCTAAGGTGGTAAGAAGACTCTTGTTTGAGGAGATGGTCACAGTGGGTGCTGACTTCAGTTCTTGGGGCCTAGAAGATGCTTAGATCCCTTTCTCTCTCTCTTGGAACTTTTGTACATCTCTGGACATTCCCATTGTGGAGATCTTTCCCTTGAAGTTTCCATGACCAGACTGAGACTCTCCTATTTTAGGGGGTCTTTGTTTTTCTTTCTTTCTTTCTCTCTCTCTCTTTCCTTCCTTCCTTCTTTCTTTCTTTTTAGATGTTGGAGGATTTTAATGTTCTTCACATATTCAACATAAAATACTGACAACAGACAAACAAAAGAAGGAAAAGACTTTTCAGCAAAGATCTGGAAAGTATCATTCTGGTCAAACACTACAAAGAAAACAGTCAAGTGAATAAAGGACAAGGGGGTTTAACAGAAATTTTCAGTTTAATGGCACAATTAAGAACAAACCAATCAACCTTCTCTTCTACTCATGGAAAGAAGAGTAAAGAGGAATCAAGAACTTTTCGTGAATCAGTTTAAAAATAGGAAGGGAAGGATGGGGAGGGGGCATAACAGTTGCTAATGGAGTGCTGTAATGAACAAGTTTAAGGATTCAACACATTCTAGGTCTCTACATGTATCACTGAGAAGCGTAGTGTTAGAAATATATATGCATAGAGATATAAAGTATATGGATTAAAAACAGACCTTGCTATATTAATATATATATATATAGTATGTCATTTTAATCTCATTATAACTGTATAAAGACCTAGTTTGCTGTTTTGCCTGGTTCTCCTAAACACTCACCAGATGGTCAGTGTTGACCTGAATCAACAGCTGCAGGACAAAGGAGACCCCACTGCTGTCTAGATTCAGCACCTAGTGGGCCCCACCTACCCTCCATGCTGTGTGTTCCCAGGACTCCAGCAATAATGAATGGCAACTTGCATTATTAACTCCACAGGTAAGTCTGAATACTTGAGATCTAGCTAGAAAAAGTAGCAGACAAAATAAACCAGAATTCATCAGAAAAGCGACAGGAAGATTTAAAAATGCTTCCAGTCAGTTCAAGCCAGAATTAAGGGAGTTGTTGGGTCCCACCAGCTTTGTAGAGCTGTGGATGTTTTGTTGTTGTTTGAAAAAAGAAGAATCTGTCATAAGCATGTTCATTTGAGAAAAATACCATGTTTGTAACTTTTTGCAACCATCTCCAAATTACTTTAAATTCTGTATGTTGTTCAGGGGCAGAGCATATGCTGGTTAGGATATGTTCATAGCTGATACATCTCCAAAAAAAGTTTCAGCTGGGCTTGGTGGCTCAGCCTGTAATCTCAGCACTTTGGGAGACCGAGGCATGTGGATTGACTAAGTCCACGGGTTTGAGACCAGCCCGGGCAACTTGGCGAGACTTCGTCTCTACAATAAATCAAAAATTAGCTGGGGGTGGTAGCCCACTTCTATAGTTCTGGTTACCTGGAGGGCTAAGGTGGAAGAACCGCTGGCGCCCAGCAGGTGGACGCTGGGGTGACTGTGAGCATGCAACAGAGTGAGACTCCAACTAAAAAAAAAAAAAAAAATTTTCTTGACGAAGGCGGCCAGCTTCTGAACATCTTCAATCGTGACAGCATTATACAAAGAGACCCAGATGCCACCCACAGACCTATGACCTTTCAAAGGGATTATATCGAGCTCAAGAACTTTGTTGAGAAATCTTTTTACTAAAGCATCATTTTCTTTGGTGTTGCCCATGGTGAATGGAATATTAATCTTCCTTCTATTTTAGGATTCCACCAGACATACATTGAAGCCTTGAGAATTATCAATAACTTCATAAATAATTTGGGATTTGATGGAGTTTAGCTTCTCCATGGTCTTGGCATCTCCATTGTTCTTAATCCACTCCAGGACCAAGCTCAGGGACATAGATGCTGAAACATGGAGGCAGGTGTGCTATACAAGGAGTTGTTCCCAGTCAGCACCTTGTATTCCAGAACGGTGGGGCACTGTCTGGGGGCGAACCCCAGCAGGTCATTGCAGACAATCATCATGGTGACCCCAGCAAAGCCAGTGTTCTTCTGGGCCTCAGTAAAAATCACACCAAACTTGAAAATACCCACTGGCTTGGATAGGAAGTTTGAGGACATGTCGCAAACCAGTACTGCTCCCTTGATATCAGGTATGAAGTCGAACTCCACACCGTGCATGGGCTCATTGCACAATAACGCACGAGGGAGGCAACCGGGTTGAGATGCCAGATACTTGGATTTGGAATTTTCATATAACTTTCAAGTTTAGGGTGGACTGCCGAGGCCGGCGCGGCTGCCTTGAGGGAGTGGCGAGAGGTTAAGAGAGACAGACACAAAAACAAAGAAAAGCTGGGGCCAGGTGGGACACTTTCCTCTGATGGAGAAGTGACCCCGAAATAGCTCAGCATGTTTGTTTTATAATCAAGCACAAAGAAAGTTGAAAGGGGTTCAGGTCTGTGAGGGAGCTATAACGGAATTTTGTTGTGAGCTACAGGTGAGCCGTTCCGCAGTTACCTTGTAACAGCGAAGGCTTTATCTGTACTTTGTGCACCTGGATATGTGGGCATCTGAGACACCGTTCCGTATAGCAGGCTGCATGCCTCGCCTTTGACTAGGATGCAGAGCTACCAAGCGAGACCTTGTCTTCGCTTGGGGCCCTTACTCAAGGCCCGCTAGTGACAGCGCTCCTCTGCTCCCCACATCACCTCCGCTCCCGACAGTGGGCGGTGTTCACAGTCCCAAACTTCTTGGCTGCTTCTGCGGTTTTAGCTGACCAAGCTCCTGTTACCACGTAGTCAGCAATCCCTCCTGCTTTCAGACCCATCAGGTTTAAGGGGACAGTACTGAACTGACCGGACCCACCTCCTTACACAAAGATCACTTTGTAGTTGTCAGGAACAGGTAAGAGTTCCTGCACAAGATTCTCTGTCTTGTTAATAATCTTGGCGAAATCTGACGACCTGTGGCCCATTTCAAGAACACGAATGCCAACTCCTTTGTAGTCTAATAATTCTTTTTGTATCTCTAACAACACCGAGTGCGGCAGCTTGACGGGCCCAGGTCCGAAGTTGACCAACTGCCTCGGGACGTCCCTGGTGCGCCTGCGAGGGCGGTGAGTCTACCAAAGAGGACGGAAGGTGTGAACAGCGAGCTTTCCCAGGCCATCGCAGTGCGAGTCTGCAGCCAACTTCGTATCCTGGCCTTTTGTTATTCTTTAAGGCCTGATATTTTTAGGCTATATGACTCACCTGGGATTTTTAAAAATTATCACAAATCTCCAAAAATGTTTCCAATATATTTATCATGTTGTTTAGGGGTTGACTGTATTTTCTTCGCTTAGATGAGGTCTAAGAAGCATGACTCAGGTTCCAAACCACTTGCTTTGAAAGTCTGAATATAGTGATTTGATTTTGGAATTTTATATTTATTGCTTTTGAGGTAGTTTAGGGATGTTGTTACTGCTGTGTATCCACAAAATAAAAAACACTGGAAGCAAAAGCAAAAAAAGTTGAAAGAAAAAAACCAGGCTAGATGTATGTACAAGAATGCTCGTCACAGCATTGTTTATATTGGCATAAACTTGAAATCAGTTTATGTCTATCAATAGGGAATTCATTAAGTAAATTATGACAATAGTCAACACAAATATTGACAAGTTTTAATAGTAATGTGGAGGCCTATTATTTAATGTGGAAAATGCCCACATTTCATTTGTAAATTAAAAAGGAATATGCAGGATGAGCTCGGTGGCTGTCTGTAATCCCAGCACTTTGAGAGGATGAGGCAAATGAATTGTCTGAGCCTGCAGGTTCAAGACCAGCCTGAGTAACTTGGCAAGACTTTGTTTCTACAATAAATGAAAAATTAGCCAGGTGTGGTATTACACGCCTGTAGTTCCGGCTACTTGGAGGGTTGAGGCTGAGGCAGAAGGATCCCTGGAGCCCAGCAGGTTGATGCTGGGGTGGCCGTGAGTGTGCCACTGCACCCCAGCCTGAGTGACAGAGTGAGACTCCAACTCACACACACACAAAAAAGAATATGCAAACTATTGTTACAGTACAATCATACAGAGCCAACAGGATGTGTGTACATATATAATACATATGGAAAGAAATTTATCATGAGGAATGGCTCATGTAATTATGAAGGCTGATGAGTTCCAAGACCTGCAGTCAGCAAGCTGGAGACCCAGAAGAGCTGATGGTGTAGTTCCAGTCCAAAGGCAAGCAGACTCAAGACTCCAGAGAGCCAGTGTTCCACTTGGAGTCAGAAGACAGGAAAAAAACCCCCAATATCCAGCTTGAAGGCAGTCAGGCAGGAGGAATTCTCTCTTAGTCTTTTTGTTCTGGTCAAACCTTCAATTAACTGGAGAAGGCCCATGCACATTAAGGAGGTAATCTGCTTTACTAAGTCTATAGATTCAAATGTTAATGTCATCCAGGAACACCATCCAGACACACCAGAATAGTGTTTGACCAAGTATCTGGGTACCCTGATGGCCCAGTCAAGTTGATACATAAAGTTAACTCTCACATATATATACACATTTACTATAAACTGTTTATGTTCCCCACCCCATCCCCAAGTTCATATGTTGAAACCTATTTCTCAATGAGCTGATATTTGGAACTGTGGCCTCTGGGAGGTGATTAGGTCATGAAGCCAGAGCCCTCATGAATGAGATTAGTGCTTTCATTTGAAGGAGGCTCCAGAGAGCTCTCTTGTCCCTTCTCTCACATGAAGACACAGTAAGAATATAAGTATCTATGAGCCAGGAAGCAGCCCTCACTAGACACAGAATCTGCTGGTGCCTTGATCTTGGACTTCCCAGGCTTCAGACCTATGAGAAATAAATGTTTGTTGCCTGCCTAGTCCATGGCATTCTGTTATAGCAGCCCAAATGTATTAAGACTATATATATATATATCACACACACACACGTATAAATCTGATTCCAGGCTTTCCCAGCTCAAGACCTTCAACAGCTCTGTCACTTTGTCCTGAATCAAGAGCAAGGCCAAAGGTAGTGGTTTAGGCCTGTAAGCCCAGCACTTTGGGAGGCTGAGGCAGGAGGATTGCTTCAGGCCAGGAGTTTGAGGCTGCTGTGAGCTATGATTGCACCATTGCACTCCAACCTGGGTGACAGAGTGAGATCCTGTCTTTTTTTTTTTTTTTTTGAGTTGGAGTCTCACTCTGTCTCCCAGGCTGGAGTGCAGTGGTATGCTCATAGCCACCCCAGCATTGACCTGCTGGGCTCCAGTGAAACTTCTGCCTCAGCCTTCCAAGTAGCTGAAACTACAGGTGCACGCTACCACACCCAGCTAATTTTTTGATTTTATTGTAGAGATGAGGTTTCACCATGTTGCCCAGCTTGGTGTCGAACCCATGGGCTCAGGCAGTTCTCTTGTCTTGGCCTCCCAAAGGGCTGGGATTACAGGCTTGAGCCACTGTGCCCGGCAGAGATCCTGTCTTAAAAAAAAAAAAAAAAAGACCCCAGGGTCTTGCTTTGGCACAGAGCTCTCCCTCTCCCCCATCTCTCCCACTATCCCTCTCTCTGCACTCACCAGATGGAAACTGAAGCTGTGTACTGTTCTTCTCAGTCTACACTACATATTTCCTAGACAGAGACTAGGACTGTTTTGTTCCCTGTTGCATGAATGGATTCAGCTGCACCCTACACTTCATCTTCATATGTAAACTGGATTTCCTGATATGTCCTTAAATAAGTCTCCTGTAACCAAGTGGTCTTGTTTAGTCTGAGTGTCTGTGTCTGTGTAATAAAACGTTTATTTTCTGGGTCTGTCTACCTCTAAAATGAAGAGTTAGAGAATAGATTGTGTTTAAACACGCTGGTTGGGAGCCAGGATGCTTTAAAAGTAGAGATATATTTTTGTATCTCCCCTCTACCTCCCCTTCCCCCGTCCAATACTGGCACAAAGCACTCAATAAAAGTTTGTTGAATTGACAAAAATAAATTTGTGGCTTCTACCCAGTGCTTGGCACTTCGAGGCTCTAAAAAATCACCGTTGGATTTAATTTTAAGTTTCTTCTCCCAGCACATTTGTGACATTCTTGAGGGCGGAAACCATGTTTTATTCAATAGGGTTCGGTGGGGTCCCTGTTCTCAAGTTTACAGTTTAGTGTGGGAGGCTAAAACAGTAACCCGTCCATTTAACAAACATTTTTCCAACGTCAGTCTGTACAAAGGTGGAAAAACCGTGGCATGAGCAATAATTCCCAGGCTCCAGACCAGGTGGTGAGATTGATCAATTCTGGAGGGCGGGGTCGGAGGTAGACCTTTTAACTTTCTCATTGGTTGCAATAACCCGCCCTCTAAATTCAGCCAATCACGGACGCCCGCAGGCAGCCAATCAAAAGTGCCCGGGAGGCGGGGCTCTGGTGTGGCGTCGACGCGGATTAGATAACAGCAAGAAATGTCAGGGTTGGGACTGTTCTGTGGCAGGGGGTGCGAGGCGGCCAGGCCCGGGCGAGCCGCGCCCTCGAGCCTCTGACCGCCGGCAGCCATGGAGGACGAGCAGCCCGACAGCCTCGAGGGCTGGGTGCCGGTCCGCGAGGACCTCTTCGCCGGGCCTGAGCGGCACCAGCTGCGCTTCTTGGTGGCCTGGAACGACGCGGAGGGCAAGTTCGCCGTGACTTGTCACGACCGCACGGCGCAGCGGTGGCGGCGCAAGGGGAGCCAGCCGGGGCCCGCGTCTG